TTTCAAAATTTATACTGCTTTATTTGATTTTTTTTGAAAATCTTCAGAATCCATATCAAATATTTAATAATTCTTCATCACAATATTGTGTCTTTTGTATGCATCTATAATTTATTCCCAATTAACTCCACGATGAAACATATCAAGACGAGTTTAAAGATTTAAAACTGCTCTTATTTATTTTTATTTTAAATTAAGAATATCTTATTCATTTTATGGATAAGGTCCAATTAATATATTCTCATTTATTTCATAAGTTTAGAATTGTACTACAAAATTCCAATCTAATTTATTTAATCTTCCAAATTCTTCATAATAAAAAAAAGAAGGCTCTTTATCTGCAAAAGAGTATCCTTAATTATTTTATTTCATTTTAGATTTTTGTATTTTTTAAGAAGAAAAAGATCCATTTTTATTTAATTTCCCAGCCTGAATAGCTGAATATATTTGAGTTTTCACTTTGATTGGATGATGATCATATTAATCCAATACTTATCTTATTGATGTTAAATCAGCACTTTTTAAGTAACGCCCATTACCTCTTTCCCATATCATTTTTCCTGTTTCATCATTTCTTATTACATAATAATAACGAAAATAAAAATTTAAAGGATCCACAATAAATGATATTGACCATTATTATGTAGGTTCTTCAGTTACTATAAATATTATATTGAATTTATTACAAATATCAATTTTTTATTGTGATTTCATAAGTACAGGTGAATTCCATGAACCAATCTCAGGAATAGATCCTATTATCATCATACGTTCTTTAGGTTATAAAGTGTGATTGAGTTTTAGTTTTATAGTTCTAAATCCCCAAAACTCTTCTAAAATAATATTACAATTGTATTACAATTAAAATACTCACTCTTCTTACCATTAAGCAATAAATGTTTAGTGATTATACGATTTTCACCAGGTTCCCAATATGCTTAGTGAATTGAAGGTTCATTATAATTGTTAACCAAGAATTTGTACTCGAATTTACGAGTGATTCTAGGCAGTTTAATACATATGGTCCATTCATGATTCTAATTTGTTTAAATTTAATACTTAATTCCATTACAAACGAAGTGCCTTACAAGAATCCCACATTCCTAAAGATTCATCATCCCCACATAGATAAATTGCTTATCCAAATTGTGTAATGTAATGAATCTTCAAGTATATTTTAACAATCCTAACATCTGTAAAGGAAGAGTTAGTGGATACTGAGTTCATTAATAAATAAATATAAAAATTTTAAGTTAACTAAAATTATTTTCAAATTTAATTCATAGTCAAGTGGATTTTCAATATTACATAATTACTATAATTCATTATGCTAATGAATTTTATAAAAGAATAAACCTAATATGGATTTCTATATTCTAACCTATCATCAAATAAAACTATTAAGAATTTTAAATTTTATTCAAAAGAATATGCAATCTTTCATTCTCTCAGTAATGAACAAAGCTAAAATTGCATAATATAATATTATTAAATTTTAGTATTTAGCCTTTATTTTTAATAATTCAATAAAAACTTACTAGTTATTCTTTAGAGTACTGAATGATATTAAATAATTTTGTTTGATTAATTACATAATTATTATAACTAATAGTCATTAAATATATTTAATTAATTAATATTTTAATAAAATTATTATTCAATTATTTCCAAATACATATCTAGTATATCCTGGTAATCTTATAGAATCATCAAGATCTTATGAAAATCTTGATTATTAAGATATTTTTGATGATATTTCATTTTATTAAACTTGTTTATTTTCTATATTAGTCATACTATCTATTTTATATTAAAGTACAGGTTATTATTCAATTGATTATCTTGTAGCCATTTGAGGAGGATGAATCAATAAATCTAATTATTATTAATAATTTTAATATGCTTCTTTAGTTGAAAATTTCTTCAGAAACTCATTAAAACTAATTCTACCTGATTTATATTACTAAAGCATAAAGAACACTCTATAGAAATCATTACCTTTAACTTGAACTCCTTTAGACTTAATATAAGTAATAAAATCATTGAATATTAAATATCCTTTTTATTTCTAATCTAATTTTCTGAAAAAATCTTCAAGTTATTGAATATCATTTCCTATTTATGTTCTTAGGTATAAAAGACTTCTTTCAATTTTTGCATATAAACTAAAAATCTAATGGATTAATTTTTAATGATCCTAATTTAATACACCATCTTATGGAATTTTTGATTATCTCCATTATGGTGTAGTAGAGAATTTTAATAAATTAGCAAACTCTGCATATGAAACAATATTATCATCTTCACCACCTAAAGTTTTAAACAAAGATTCAATTTCTTCTCTCTTAAGAAGAATGTCTAATTTCTATAATGTGATAATAAAATCATCCAATTATAATTTTCTATCCCCATTAACATCAAAGAATTCAAAAAGTTTCCATAAACTAAAAGTTGGATCATTATTCAATTTATTTTAACAATTTGTTAATTGTTCAAAAACATGATTGGTAGCTATAAGGAAACTAAAAAAATGATATTCTTCTGGTGTTAATGATTTAATTTATTTTTAAAGTATATTTTTGATATCGTATTGTTTATTATCATCAACAGCAAGAGGGATAAAAGGTTAGGTTTGTTTCATTTATTAAATTTTTTATTTGAAAAAAAATAATAAGTTAAAAATAATTAGAACAAAAAATTCAGATATACTATAGATTAATACTTACATCTATATATAATATTGATAAAGTTTTGAAAGTTCTTGGTTTTCTTAATTTAAATTCATATTTATTAAAAAGAATCCTTCTACATATTCTTTAGAATATGTTCTTTTATTTTGATATAAAATATTATAGTTTTCTGAATTATTAAAATTTGCATTCTAATTTTTTAATAATTATTTTAAATAATTTAAATTTATTATGTTCGGAGGTGGTATGTTTGGGAACTAAAATCCAGCTTAAACAACTGGAGGTATTGGAGGCATATTAGGTACTATATTTTAAGATAATTAAGGTCAACCACAACAATCAACATTTGGGGCACCTTCAGGAGGACTTTTTGGAAATACAGCTCCATAATAAGGTTTATTTGGTTAGGCTCAAGGAACATAAGGACAACCTGGTTTTGGTGGTTTAATGGGAGGTTAGATGCAATAAGGAGGATTAGGCGGAGGCCTTGGAGGAGGTCTTGGAGGTGGACTAGGAGGAGGACTTGGAGGAGGTCTTGGAGGAGGATTAGGACTTTAACAATAACAATCAAGTACTTTTGGTACAGCTGGAGGATTAGGCTAACCTCCAGTATTAGGATAATAAGCACCTACATTTGGTGGTTTAACTGGAGGTTTAGGTACAGGATTAGGTGGCGGTCTTGGAAATGGATTTGGATAATAGACTGGATTATTAGGTTAAACACCTTAAACAGGAGGATTATTTGGGTAAACACCTTAAAGTGGAGGAGGATTGTTTGGATAGCCATAATAACAATAGCCAACTTTATTTGGTTAATAATAATAATAACCATAACAGTAAACAACAGGTTTATTTGGTGCTCCAGCTTCTTCTGCTTAACCTTTTGGACAATAATAGGGAGGTGGTTTATTTGGATAGACACCTTAATAACCATAATAGACTGGATTTGGATTTGGATAATAATAAACTGCAGCTCCTATTGGTGGAACATCTCTTTTTGGTTAATAATAACCTCAATAATAAGTTCAAGCTGGTCTTGGATTTGGAGGTGGTTTAGGACAATAAGCCTAACCTGGTAATTAAATTGTATTACCTGGTGGTGTTGATGATTCAGTTAATGATGCAAGTCTAGAATAAAGAATTAGATTAGAAGATTCAGTGTCAGCAATATGTTGGGGAACAACAATGCCTAATTTTTTAGCTATTTCATCTTGGGATGGTAAAGTGAGAATATTGGAGATACAATAGAATTCATATAAGAGAGAATTATTTGAAAGAAGATCATTTTAAGTTGATGGAGCAGTTGGATAAGTATAAAATCCAATAATTTGTATGGATGCTAAGGGAGATTTGTCATAAATTTTTGTAGGATGTGGATTTGATCACACAGTAAGAGTTATAGATGTTAATTCAGGATAAATAGCATCTATTGGATAACATCAAGGATTAATAATATCTGTTTATTGGATAGAATCTGCATAAATGATACTATCAATATCAACAGATTAATCATTAAAAATGTGGGATATTAGAGCTCCAGGATAACCAAGATTTTAATGTCAATTTTAATACAAGCCACTTGTATCTGATTGTAATTTCCCATTATTGGTTATTGGATTTGCATCTGAAAAATTAACAATAATTAATTTAAATGAATTATAATAGTTACCAGGAAGATTTTAATATATTGATTCACCTTTAGGAACATATTCACAATTAACTTCAATAGCAATATTTCCAGCAAGAGATGGATTTACATTAGGTTCTATTGATGGAAGAGGACATTAAACAAATATTACAACTAAATCTACTCATGGCATGCCTACTGAATTTTCATTAAAATCAATCATGACCTTTAAAGCACATAAAGTATTTATATTATTTTTATTTTAGGTTGAAGATAATTAAAAAGGAAAAATATAAAATTATTTCTTTCCAGTCAATTGTATCTAAATGAATATCAAAAATAATTACTTTCTAATGACAGCTGGAGGAGAAGGCCAAATGATCTTTTGGGATATTAATGTAAGAAATAAAATCAGAACATTTTAATTCAATTGTAATCCTATAGTTTGTGCTAAAATGAGTCCTGATGGTTCCATGTTAGCTTACGCTTTAGGAAATGATTTTTCTAAAGGTCCTGAATACTTCAATGAATTTTAACCAAAAATATTTGTTCATTTTATTCCAGAAAATGAGCTTAGATACCCTAAAAATTGATAAATATCTATATATATTTTTATTAATCATTTCACTAAGATTGTTTAATTAAAAATTATATATATGTAATAATTTTAATAAAATTAAAAAATGGACTAGGATTCTATGTGTTAGACACACAACCAACCCACTATAGGATATTATTATGATTAGAAAGATAAGCCTCATCATTTCTGTAGTGATTGTGATCTTGTTAATGTAAAATATTCAATTAAATTTAATAGTTACCTAGTCGTATATATTATTATTTAGAAATTATCAATGATAAGTCTAAGATCAATGATTAGAAATAAAAATATATGTAAGTTTTCACTTAACTAAGTTAACAATACCTGAATTCAATAAAAAGTATTAATAAAAAATTGCAAAATTTGATGGAAAAAAAAGAATCAGAATGCATAGATTTTGACAAAGAATTAAAAAAGATGGAAGAAGCAGTTTAAAATAAAGTTTCTCTAACAAACGGTCAAATTACAAAGTTATAAGATTTTTAGAACTATAATATAAATTTAGTATATAACGACATTTATACTCTATGCAATCAATATTTTGAAGATCATTATCAGAATATTTATAACACTTCTTAAGGTAATATTTAATCTTTATTTACAGCAATGTAAAACGACATACCTTAGTTGTTAAATACTATATTGATTAATAATTCTGATCAAAAAAATTTAGCTTTATACAATCTGAAACTTAACTTATTTATTAACAAATAGGTTCAATCTCTGAAAAATAGGATTTAAGAAATTTTTTTAAAGAATGCTGAAAAAATAAATCAAGAGTAAGATAAAACAAAAAGAGATGAATTTTATTTTTAAATTGAATCTGATAAGTACTATATTAGAGATATTTCCTAACTAATTATTGATATTCGAGATTATATAGACATAAGTTCAAAAAATATATTTTATCAGTCTGATATTGAGAAATAATTAAATGATTATAAAAGTGCTGAAGCTTAAAATAATGATTAAACTGAAAATAATGATACTTTTATAATTTTTAGTGAGGTTGATGATTTCTATATTTAGAATGAATAGCTAGAATGAGATTATGCTGAATATAATTTCCTTAATTGAAATTTTTATATTTAAATTATATTTTTTCATATTGATTTACTTTTTATTAAATAATTATGGGTTCTTGATAAGAAAGAGCTTTTTTAAAAAGCAATCGAAATAAATAATGTTGAAAATTCATATTAAGTGTGCAAATAATATCAAAATTTTTAAATATCATTCTATATTAATATAAGATAAAGTTTATAATGATTCGGTTGAGGATCCAAGAGAATCATGTAATATTTGATAAAAAGAATAGTGAAATTTGATCTACCTCCTATTTTTGTGAGAATTGAATTACCTCTTGATCAGTAACTATAATATTGGATTATTTAGAAGAATTAATAATTATCTATGATATGAATCCTATGCCTATCAAAGATGATTCTATTAAAATACAATAATTATCATTTTATTTATTCTTATGTATACCTGAATCTAATGAGAATGCATGAAATATTATTAATAAGATTTTAAAATTTTGACATATATATTTATACTGAATCAAATTTCAGTATAAAATAAACAATACTAGTTGTAATAAGATAAATATGCTATTTTTAATCTTCCTTACTGAATATTAATTTTAAAAGGTATTTATAAATAAATTTATCATTTAACATATCAAATATTAATAGAAAGATAAAAAGATTTGAAGAGATAAATAATTATAAAATGCTAAAATAAGTATGTTAAATAGTGATTGTGATTATTATAATTTAATTTTGTATATTTATCGATTTATTTCATTCAAACTTTGGTTTGATGACTCCTACATTATTGTAATATTCATCATGAATTTATGATCTATCGGTATAAGTATGAGCAAATATAAATGCTGATCCAAAAACAAGGAATGAATATAATTTAAATCTTTTCCAATTTTAATTTTGCAAATATCCTTATTTGAATACAGCTTTATTCTTAGGTCTATTATATAATTTTAGATAAATACTGATAGTATGTTGGAACACCAGTGGTTGTTTATCTATAAAAATATGACACAGGGATAAACTGTTGAATTAATATTAAATGTTACATATAATAAACTGAATACGATTCCAGAAGCAGCAAAGTTAAGAATCCATTCATATTTGAATGTATTTAATTTATCAGCATAATCCATTTTTCTTTCTCTTAATGCCTCATTCATATAAAATTTATATAGTGGTTAGTCATAGAAAGACTTTTCAACTGTGGCAATATATCTCTTTTCTTGATCTCTATTTGGAATTGGTGGAATCTAATCTTCGAATCCCATTTTTAATAATTTTTATTATTAATATATATATCAATAAACTAATCTGAAGATATCATTATGCACGTATAAACCTCCTTAACCATTTGGAAGAATTTAAAAACTTTATGAGAATTTGTATGTCTCAGCATCATCCATCTGTAATTACCCTGTGACAAATATAAATAAAGAATTCTCTAATGCTCCTGGTTAAACATCCATATCATCAATTTTATAAACTATTTTTTAGAAGGCCAATGATTCCAATTTTTCATTGATTTATTTTATACCATCATGTTATTATCCACCTAAAAATAATTAAATTTAATGAAAAACCATAAGTCATATGAGAGGCATCTGTATAAAATTAGATTAATCCCATTTTGTTTGTCATTAAAGTCTAATAGTATTGTTAAAGGAATTGTTAAGCAATTGTTTAGGCGGGATTCATAATTAAAAAAAAATAAAAATATTTTTAATGTTTTGAATTATTTAAATTTCTGCATTTATTCTTTGGAAACATAAAAAATTTAATAATTATCAAAATTTAAATAACTTATTTCATTACTTTAAATGATAGTTCCTTCATATTCATAAGTAAAATTTTATTTTTAACTAATAATTTTTTAGTTAAAAAGGTAATTTATAATGTTAGATTTATAGCCTAATAGAATTTAAGGTTTATCAATATTATTATTTCTATTGTAATTAATATAAGAACTATGTTATTTGTAATAAAAATTTTCCAAACAACTAATTAGTCTAATATATTTTGTAATATTCTTACACTTATATTACGATAACTTAATATAAATATGAGGTTTATGTCATAAAATTGTAGTTACAATTCTTTGTTTTTACTTTGTTTAATAATATATATTCTTAAATAGATTGATATATAAATATATTTACTTAGAAGAAATATAGAGTTTAGGGTGTTAATCTCTTAAGATATTTTCTCTTTCTTTTAACTTAAACTATTTAAATTAATTTGTTTCTGTAAACTTATTGATTAATAACTTATATAGTCATAAAAATTAAATGTTATAATGATACTGGATATAAATTTCGAATAATAGACAGTAACTAAATTTTATACTTCTATTTATTTAATTAAGAATCAATGAATTATCTTTTAAGTTAGATTTAATTGGAACTTTAATAAGATATTTTAATAATAAAATTGATGATCAACAAGTATCGACTAAATTAGATTAAATATATACTTATTATTCATAGTTTTTCATATTAATTAATATTATAAATAATTTAGTAAAATAATTATGAAAGGAACAATGGATGATACTTAAGATTAATAGTAGGGTGATTAAGAATTAAATAATGAAGAAAAACATATTTTAGAATAAAAATGTATATAGCATTTAAAATATTGATAAGAATAAATATTGAATAACAGTGGTGTATTGGCTGCTTATGAATATTTTTTGAGAAGGCTTTGTAAGGATGGATTTCCAAGTGGAAATGTATATGAGTATGCAGCTTAAGCTGTTTTAAAATATGAAAAAAAGAAATAAGCTGAACAGTTTCGACAATAGACAATGGCGAAATCTTTGGCTGAACTATAATTAAGTAGCATATACTCAAATAAATAAAGATGAAAGACTTAAAGCTTAGCTATAAGCTAGTAAAGTCGAAGTTAAAGCAGACCAAAAAAATGATAAAAATGACAAAAATAAATCACCTTAAAAAGGTAATAAAGATTAAAAGGAAAAAAATCCAAAAGATTAAAATTAAGGGAAAAACGATAAGAAGGACACAAAAGCTTAAGGTATATTTATATAATTAATTTGATAAAGATAAAACAGATACAAAATAAAAGAAGAAATGAGTTACATATTTTTAATTTATTTCTTAAAATAAGTTATTATAATATTTTACTGAAAATAATGATCTCAAAGAATAATAAAGAAGAGTATATATACATAGTTATAATATGGAGTAATCTCAAAAACTTTTATTTAAAGTATTTAAAAATTATTGTTTTGTTATCAATTATTGACCACCTCTTTATAATCTTAAAACTGTAGCAATATCTAATTATTTGACAGCATAACTTCTTTATTTTTTATCTGCATAAGTTCTTAATAAAAAATATTATCTAGCATAATCTCCAGAATTGACATAAAGATGATATTCAATTAATTTTAAAAACACTTTCTCCATTTCATTTATTTGAATTGTTGAAAATTATGGTAAAACTTTTGCAAAATTATTATTTTCAAATGATTCATCATCCCATATTTTAGAAGCCATAACTAATGCTGTAAATAAAATCTTTTGCCAATTCAAACAATTTATTTCTAATCCTTAATTATGATCTAATAATCTATTTATATAAATCATTGATATAATTGCTACTTCTCTTTCCATTTTAGTTGTTGTCATAATATTTTTACAATAATTTTAAATGATATCCACATTTGGTATATAATTTGTCAATGATTAATCAATAAAAACTTTATTAAATAATTAAGAATCTTATAAATTTAATGTAGTATCAACTGAAAATTAAGATAAAGGTAATTATTAACTTAAATTAGAAATATATTTATTTTATTAAGAATGAAAACTTGAATTATTAAGATTTAAACATTCTAATTCTTGATTACCATTTTATTATTCATTATTTTCAAAACTATCATTATAATTTTAATCTAAATCTTCCTCTTATTATTCTTCTTCTAAATATTCTTATTATTGTTCATCATCATCTTCTTTCAATTAAAAAGTCTAATCTTAAATAATTTCATTATCATCTCTATCATTTATTATATTCTAATCTAATAATATATTTGTTATATACTATCCAATTAACTCTATTTTATATCATCAATCTATTAAAGTTAACTAATATTTTTTATTTAATCTAAATCAGCTAAAACCATCATTTTATTTATTGAAATCCCAACACAATAACTTATTTCTTCTATATCTATATTTATTAATGTTGATGCCAATCTTCCATTATCAAAAGATTGATATAACAATTAAATTGATTCCTTTTCTAAATTTATTTCATTAGTATTTTTTCCATTTATTAATAATAATTTATCAATAAATTTATTATTTGGTTTTTCTTAATAAGATTTCTAAGTAATTAAATTCTTTTTTGTTTAATTTTATAAAGGATTTTTAACTGTTTTCTATGCTTATTTTGAAATCATCTCTTTTAAATTAGGTACCTATACAATAATCTTAAATTATTAATATACTTATCTAGAAGTTATTTCTTCAACTTAAGAATTTCTTTCTTTTTTTCCTTTACTTGAAACTTTTTCTAATTTTGGTAATACTCTTGGTTTAATTTAAGTTAATTCCTTAGGAGGTGTAAAATGTTTTATAGATGCTTTTCTATTAATTTGTTTTAGTATTTCCATGTTTACTTCTTTAGTTTATTCAAATTGTCCATGTGAATTCAATTATCCAGGTAAAGTATTACGATTTTAAGCAAAATTATTATGATTTATTAATTAAATATTATTGTCGTTGTAATATTCTAAATGATCATTTAATTGCTTAAATAAATCTTAAAATTTTTATCTATGTCCAGGTAATAACTTAATCTCTTGTAATACAATATTCTAAGATTCTTAAGATTATTATGCTAATTATTGTAAACCACTCTTATATCCTCTTAATAATAATTTATTCGTATATTATTATAAATTGTATTCCATTAATTATCTATTATTACTTAATTCTAATTACTTATAAAGTATACTATCTTTAAAACCTGTTAAATCTGAATGGTAAGTTTTATTGCTACTATATTCAGTATCTCTATTAATTCTCTCTAATTAAATTATTATTATTATTTATTACTTTTTGAAGTATTTTTTTAATCATTTCTCATAGTCGATTTCACATTTAAAATTTTATTAACATAACTCTTTAATCTAGCATCATCATCCCATTTTTTCATTCTATTTAATTATGATTATTTATAATAAATAATTATAAAACATATATATATAAATAATTATCATCTATCATTAATAAACAAATTTTGATCTATTATCCAAATGATTTTATTAATTAAATGTAAATGTTCATAATTTCTATTATTTAATTATTTATTTTTTCTTTAAAACCAAAAATTCTAATTAGATTCTTATTATAATTATCTAAACACTATTAGATCTGTTGTAAAAATAGACTAACAGTAATTTACTAATTTTTTTAATTAAAATATTGATCTCATTTCTTAAGCTTCTATGATATGAACAACTATCAATATTAATATATATCAATTTATTGTTGAAACTATTCATTTACTAATTATTAACCAATGCATCTAAAATATTTGTATTTGAATAAAAAATAAAATATAGATTTATTTATAATTATTGATTGATAAGATTAGATTGGTTATTAAAGGAGAGGTTACAAATGTAATAATGTATAAATTAATATTATCCTTAATAACGAAAAAAATCTATTAATAAAAAAATTTGATTAACAGTTTAAAGAATTTTAAATTTAAATAATATGTATGACACTAGATAGATGTACTTTGATAAAGATTCATCTCTTCATAATATAAGCAATCTTAGTGATAAAAAGGATTATCATGTTTATCAAAGAGATCTATTAGCAGAGTTAAATCAAAGTTAACAAAGATTAACAGTTTAAGAATTAGAAAATAAAGTAGTGATGTTAGCTACAGAGAATGAGAGATTAATATCATAATTAAATGATAAAAATAGAGAAATTGAATTTTTATAAGAGGAATAACGAATGCTATAGAATGCTTATTAATCATAAAAAGATGATAGATATAGAGCAATAGAAAATAGAACAACAAAAATGATATATGAAAATGAGAAGGTTGTTTTGATGAATTAGAGTTTACAAATCTAATTAGAAGAATTGTCTTATCAATATGAATCATTACAAAAAAAGTTTTAAGTAGAAACTGAAATAATTGAATAAAAATGGAAAGCTCATTATGGAGAATTGTATGAATAATAAAACAAGAATCTTACAGCCAATATTGAGAAGTTACTAAATGAATTAAAATAAAATTCAGATCTAATTTAATCTTATGAAGAGAAATTAAAGAGTTATTCTAAAGAATTATAAATGGTTAAGGAATAATTAGATTATAAAGATAAAAAAGGTAATGAATTACTTAATAATAATTAATAAATAAGTAACATTATAGAATAATAAGATGCAGTTATAAAAAAGAATACAGAAAAGATATAATAATTATAAATATAATTAGAATAATAAGTTAATGAAAATAGATAATAGAAATAGAGATTGATAAATTATGAAAAAGATATAGAAAATAGAAGAATAAAATATGAAGAATTGATAATATAATTTGAAGAATTAAAATTATTAGAAAAAGAAGAAAGATTATAATTAGAAAAAAATGATTAAGAATTTTAATAATATAAATTAGAAATAAATTAGATGAAATCTAATTTAAATGAATTGAATAGAAATCATAAATTATAATAATAGGAAAATCAACATAATTATAATAAGGAAATTAATCATCTTAAAAAATAAATATAATAAGTAATTATGGAAAATGAGGATTTATAAAAATTACTTAATTAAACAAGATAAAATCTTAATAATGAAATTACAAAAACTAATAGTCTAGAAAAATAATTAGCAGATAATGCTTAAGATATTTAAATTAAAGAATAACAATTACTTATGTAATATAAAGAATTAGAAGCTTAAAAATTAAAATTTGATAAATTATTCTAAGAAAATACATCCTACCTAAAATAATAATAAAATTAATTTGATATCAAATTGTTATAAAATTAATAATAAAATAAATTGGTAATTTATTATAATTATAATATAGTAAACAGAACAAATTGTATAATCAAAAAATAAAGAAGTAAATAATCTAAATGAGAAAATTAATGTTTTATTATAGAAAATAGATGAATAGGCATCTTACATATAATAATTATCTTATTAAAGTAATATTAAAGGTGAAGAAATTGAAGAAACTCGTCCATAAATATAAAGTCTTAGAAATGAATTACATAGACTTCAATAACTTACAGTAGAATAAAGTAATGAGATAGACAATTGGAAACTAAAGACTATTCGTATGGAAGAAAATTATGAAATGTAAAATAGAGATCAATTAGAAAAATTATAAAGATTTCAAGATGAAATACAATAGTTATAAAACAAATTACATAAAACATAAGAAGAAAATATCAAAATAACCAATAATTTATAAGAAACCTTATCAAATTTAAATTCAATTTAATAATTATTATCAGAAACCCATTAATAATTAAAATTTGCAGAAAATAAAATTGAAATTTAATCTTAAGAATTAGTTGAAACTATTTAATTAAAAGAGTAATTAAGTTTACTTAAAGAAAAACATTAAAAAGAAATTGAAGCCTTAAAAAAGGCAGTAGATTCAAGTTTAAAAGTAAAAATTGAAAAAGAGATTGCTTAAGAAAGAGAAAAACTTGAAAATTATTCATAATAGATAACATTAGAAAAAAGAGGTTTAGAAAATGTTATATAAAATTTAAATACAGAAAATTAGTTATTAAAAACAGAAATAATGCAATAATAAGAATATTTTAAATTGTAAGTATAAGATCTCATTGTAGATTAGCAAAAACATTTAATAAATATTGATCATGTTTATAAGTAAAATAAAATATTATTATAATTTTAGATTAGAATTAAAAGGTTTATCTGAAGCCTAATAAATTCAATATAATTAATTTGTTGTTCAACTACATTTATAAATTGCCACATTGATAGAAGAGAATAAAAATCTCAAAGAATAATGTTAATAATGGTAATAGTAACTTAGAAAATATGAAA